TTGTTCCATCTCCTCGAATGGTTGAATTCTGAGGGAGTCAAGTTGTTCCTGGCTGGTAGCCCAACGGAGGTTTCTCAATTGCATGCGGAACCAATATTCGGATTCGGGTTGGATAGAGACGAGAGATTGGATACGAGTAATAGCTTTCTGAGATTCAGAAATGGGAAGAGCAGTAGAGAGATGTCCATCGAAATGATAACGGAATTCACGCTCAGCGCGGAATTCAACTTCATTGATGTCACGTCTTCCATAGCTTGGGAGACTAGCTACAGCTAGCCCCACTAGGGCACACAATACCAGGAACTTCATCTGGACGTGGAAACCACATAAGGTTAGGCCTCACGATGGTCCTTATAAATCCATTCTAATTGACAGTATTTTGAAACGTCGTTTCTTCAAGTCAATCATCTGTTATCGCTTCATCATCAATGCTGATAACGTACTGCAAAAAGGAGAAGAGAATTCAGGACAAAACTTTAACAAGAGTTATGATTGCGGGGTACACATGATCTGAAGCACACCAATTTCCACTGATATATAATAAGATGATTTATGCACACTTCCCCTAACTTTTCCGGCGGAGTTTAAAGGCTTTAGGAGAAAACGCTTATTTCGTCATCTTGGGTAATCATCCAAAGTAATCATTTCATGTCCAGGTGATTGAAAGCTCAGTTACAGATATCTGTACTTGAATTCAATCATTGTCAGTTTTAATGCTTAAAGACTAACGATTAAAACCGAACACGCAATCTCCGTACGACAGTTATTTCTTGGAAAAAAAAAGAAATCTTCCTGTCTTCAGTCCTTACATTTCATCAGCAGAGAGCAGTCTAATTGTAATAAATAATCGAGAATTCCCAATGGGCTTCAGAACTGGATCATAACAGTCGTATTTACAATAAATTATGAAATCTTATAGAAATTGGAACAAAAAAAAACATTACGTAACATTTTCTCACTGCGAGCTCACCTCGATCCATTAGCTAAACGGGATAGAAGTTGGTTTAACTATCTTTGTATTATTGTGCACATGCAAAGTAATCGAATAACCCCCTAGCTTTTCCTGCAAATTTAAACTACTTAGCTTCTTCTAATTTTCTGCGAAAACTACACTGATTCTTTGCTAAAGAACTTCAGAGAGCTTTCAAACAATCTAATGCTTCAAATCCAAGCGAAAATTCATCTTCAGATTATTTCTCAATGTGTTTTTAGATGATGAGAAATGTGTTGTAAATTGGTCCCGTCACGATTTCGCCTACGATACTTAGTATTATTGTTTGCCATCTATATCCTCTTACTGAGCAATACTATTTCTTTTAAAGCATTCATTATTATTTGTTATTTGTTATTTCCCTAGAAACTTCTTGTTTTTGTTAGAATTCCTCAGGTTTTGATCAGTGCCAGCTTTTAGATAGAATTTTCAACTATGAGTTTTTCTCCTTTCTTCCCTTGTTGTCACATGCTTTGGCAAGTATTGATTTGTTTTGCTAAATTTTATTTTATAGAAGTGTATATTGGACAACATTTCTATAAATGGATGAAGACTCTTATAGCTCAGGTGATGAGGACTGTGATTATGATTATGACAATGGTAAAACAAATTTATAAAATAAAATAATTTTCTTCCTTAGTTGACTATTATGGCGACTGTGACATGGACATAGTAACCGAAGGTGAAGCTGTATCTGCTAATGATCCTGAAGATGCAGAATTCGACTGTCTTTCTCTTCATGAAGTAAGCATATTGAATTTAGTCTCGAAAATCATAATAATAATTGTAGGTTGAACGTGTGCTCAATGAAAAGGTAGCATCGTTAGTGGAGTGGGCCAATTTAACGCCGTCTTTAGCAAGGATGCTTCTGCATGTCCATGAATGGGATTCTGATAAAGTATGTTCTTTTATAGTTTTTTTTGTATTTATGGCTTAAGGTCTCTTCTTTAATTAATATGAATTTGGAAGAAGCTCTTGTTTCTTCAAATATTAAGCCTAAGACTGTGGGTACAACTTCTACTGCCGGCTATTGTATAGTGTGTGCAGATGATTCTGCTTCACAAATGGAAACATTGTCCTGTAAACATGAGTTTTGTATAAATTGTTGGAGATCACATATAGAATCCAGGTGAGATTCTTTTTCATCGTTTTTCTGACAATTCAATTGCTTGCAGGCTATCCGAAGGTGTTGCATCTAAGATAGAGTGTATGGATTCACAATGTAATTTGTTATGCCCTAGTGAATTTGTTGTTAAAATTTTAGATAAACCTCAATTAAGAGCTAAGTGAGTTTGAGCACACTGTTTATCCCCTATAGCTGCCTTATTACAGATATGAGAGATTTATATTTCGCGATTATATTACTTCCCATCCAGAGTTGAAGTTCTGTTCCGGCAAGGATTGTCAAGTAAAAATATTCTTTCATTTTTTGAATCCTTTTTTTAACATTGAAGGCCGTGATTCGTTCTCGTGAAAAACAGCCAAAACGAGTTATTTGCAAAAAGTGTAAAACGACTTCTTGGTTAGTTGAAACCTGAAATGATTTTTCATCGTTTTTTTAAGTGTTTTGTGCGGTGTAGATTATCATGCTCCTACCTCATGTGAAACTATACGCTTATGGTTGGTGAAGTGTGCCGACGACAGTGAAACTGCGAATTATATAAGGTTGATATCTCATCCTACACTAAAAACGCTAATTTCTTGTGTTTGTAGTGCACACACGAAGGATTGTCCTCATTGCCATACATGCATCGAGAAGAATGGAGGCTGTAATCATATGCAATGTGCGAAATGCAAGCATCACTTCTGTTGGATGTGTTTTGGAGGTTTCGTTTGTTCTACTTGTCGGCCTTCTTTCAGTAATCAGCTTTCAGATTGGAAAACACACGGTAGCGAGTATTATGAGTGCAGTCGTTATAAGGTTTGTTCGTGAAGCTTTCCGCAAATTTAAACAGTTTGTTTCAGGATAATCCATCAGTCGCTGCTGAAGCTAATCATGTAAAAGCAAGGAGAGCCTTAGAAAAGTATTTGCATTACTTTGAAAGGTTTGAAAATCACAGCAAGTCTTTGAAACTCGAAGAGCAACTACGTGATAAAATCAAAAGAAAAATTGAATCCAAGGCTAGTTTTTGGCTTTTAAGGGATGTTTCTCAATAATTATTGTTCCAGGTGAATGAGCATGATGGCACCTGGATCGATTGGCAATACCTGTTAAATGCTGTTTCATTACTTACAAAATGTAGATATACTTTACAATATACTTACCCCTTCGCCTATTACATGGAAAGTGGAGGCAAAAAACACTTAGTGAGTTACTGCTTTTCTTCTCTGGTTATTTATCAAAGTTTTTATTGAATCCCCTCTCCTTGAGGATCATATAATTAACTCGTCATTCTTTCACATCCTTGTTCTCAATTCCAATTCCATTTGACGCGATAGTTAGGGGTGCTGCTGTTTCCCGCAGCGACGGATTGTTCGCTGATCCGCATTCAGTGGCAGGTACCTATGCTGGCCATCAAAAGATTATCTTCATGTGGAAGATTATCCTTCTTTCTATATCACTTATTACATGATTGCTACTCTGTGCATACTGTAGATTTTAGAACATGATCCTTAGCCTTTTAGAAATTCGGTTTTCAAATTTTGATTGTTTCTCTAATTGAAGCGGCGTTTCTGCTACGAGTGGGGCTATCTGAACCTTGGGTTGTGACAAATAGTTTTCTCATTTCTTTATTGTAATTGAAAATTCCGTTTCTCATCAGTTTTGTCGGTTTGAGTTACGGGTCATCAGCAATGGTTTTGCTTTGTCTGGCCATTGTCACAGGCTGTAAATTCGGTTTTAGATGGTCGCGATTCTAATATTTTACTATTTCAGTTTGAGTATCAACAGGCTCAGTTAGAGAAAGAAGTTGAAGAACTGGCATGGGCAGTCGAACGTGCTGAATCTACATCTCGAGGAGCCTTAGAAGCTCACATGCATCGAGCCGAGCATAAAAGAGTAACGTTGCTGCACAGTTTCTCGCATAAAAATCAGTGATAGAATATGGAGATGAATATTAATTACGTTGTATCTAATTCTTTGTAAAAAGTCTTTGTATGTACCCATATTCGCTAGAAATTGATATCATTTTTAGTCTAGTGCCTTCTCATATTTTGATCGAAGTTTCAAGTCATTTTTCAAAAATTTCTCACATTCGCTGTGATTGTATACTTGTATGTAATAAATGTTTTGTGTACCCACAGCTCACTCATAATCTTTCTTATTAAACTAATAATACATTTGAATTCAAAAATAGAATATTGGAATCAACATATACGATTTCCCATACTTCTCGAATGCTAATCTCCACGTAAGCAGCAGCTCTCTTATCAGCTTGCTTTCTTTCATTTGTCTAATCCGAGCAGTGAAGGATTTCTGCTTAGCATACACATACATGTTCATTCTAATTTCGGCCACTTCTCTTCTTGGGCTCTATTTATTCCGCTGTTTTTATCGATGGTCATGGTGAGTTTTCTTTACGTTATTCTAAGCTATCATAAACATATTCGTTCGTCTCTTCCGTAACTACAACATCCTATGAGATATGGGCGAGAAACTATTAATCGGCATATGCTGATGTCATTTGAAATAAAATAATCCCTTGGAGTTTTACGTCACACGTGGATAACGTGAACAACTTCTCATTTCATAGTAAACAACGCAGAAAACGGTTGAGTTATAATAAATCCCAAACACGAACGTTAAAATGATTTTTGTGAGTTTTATTAGTATTTACCCTATTTTGTGGTGAAATCGCTTTTATTATTTTACACGAAGTCTACCAACAAGCGATGGTGAAATCTATTTTTATGGATACTGTTATTCACCATTTTACTCACCTACGAGAGATGTTGTTCTTAGAATCTGGGCTAGTTTCCTAATATCGTCTTAACATGAAAATATGAAATCGACCATTGTATTGTGTGAAATTAGAAAAATTGGGATATACTACTCTATTGCAACAGAGAAACCTTAAGAAAGATATTTATAAAAATAAGATTTTGTTTCTGTCATTGTTTTCCTCTCTCTCTCTCTCTCTCTCTCTCTCTCTCTCTCGTGAGTCTTGTGAAATTCTCAGAGGATTCAAAGTAAAGGGTCGCGCGCCAAAACAACATACAATTGACAGCTAAAAGAGTTTACTTGGATTGATACTCATACAGGTCTTGACAGGCCATTTTTGGAAATACTTGTCATTGATTTTATAACACAATTCATACAAATATCACGTTCAAGTTTTGCTTCTCACACGATGAATTCGAAATTGGAGACTTCTTAAAGGTTTTTGAGTTTTTTGTTCTCCTAAAAAGTAATCAATTTCCACTTGAAATCCATTAGAAGGTATTGCTTCTCTCAATCTATGATTGCTGCGAATCCCTATCCAACTATACTAGTCATTGATAAATTAACAGCTTTCTTAAATCAAATACCTTAAACGGCATTTATGTTTATGAGTGGGCGGAGTTTGAGGCTGGTGAGGGGTGCAGACTAGCGCGGGAGGGCGGAGGCTGGTGGAGGACGACGATCACTATACCCTACCGTCAGACAGACTGTATCCTCGCAGGCACATAGGTCGGTTGTGCGACTGGCTACTATGAACGCAAGCTATGTATCTATTTTTTCGTTATTTCGTGAAAAAAGAAACCTGCGTGGACATAGTAGGTCTGTTGCTTTCGCCAATTTTATTCCGTCGATTGATGATTATCCTTGCCTAGATACGAGGAATTATTCCTACTCCTAGATGCGTAATGATCGTTTCGCCTTCTTCTATTCAGCTGTTTTATTAATTCACCGCTCGTACACCCGAAATGGCACTGCATGAATTCACGGAATTTCAGATGCACCGTGCTTCCTGTGGTGACATGCCGGGAAACGTGCGTAACAGTTCCGATGCAATTTATTGATTTGTTGAGAACAGAAATGATTTACTGTCTTTATATTTTATTTCTGACGTCCTAAATGAGGTGTATTTTAATTGAATCGACGCCATCAGAAATCTATCAATCGATTGTTTACGAAATGCAATTGACCTTTTACTGAGAAACTTGCTAGTAAGTTTTCGATTAACAATGTCTTTCTCTTGTTTTGAACATTTTATTCTCAAAAACTCGTAATGTTTATAAAAGATGAATGAATGATTGGTTGTGAACCCTTTTCCTAAATCAATTCATTTACCTTTTACTTAGCTTTTTTCCTATTTTCATTCGATCAATCATAATGGCTCCTCTGAGTCTAGTTCTTCTTTGAATCGTCCAAAAACGAGACGACATACATACACCCAGCCAGTCCGTGGCGTACATGACGTGATCGATTTGAATTCCTCTTTTGTACAAAATGCGAATCGCTATAAGAGGAGGAAGAAGAGACCTGAAAACGAAGGGAGGGGAGGGTTCGTTGGCTAGCGAGTGAGGGAGCGAGAGAGGTTTATGGATGACATAATCAAATAAAACTTTTGAAATATATAAATATATTACAATATAATTAAAATAGTCAATGTATGTTAATTAAGTATGTGAATTGCCTTATTTGTCCAATTCGGTCTGTGTATGTGTGTGTGTGTGTATGTGTCTCAACAAAATTGTCCATATTTGGGCGTCAGTTAATGCATGATATGTTTGGACTTGAAAATTACGTATTTGCATATATAACTAGCAGAATGTCATGAATATGCTCAGTTGTTTGCTGGGTTTTATTATGATTTGCGCAGTCCTTTTCAACGCTTTTTTTTTCCACAAAACTTATGGCAACTTTGTGAAGAGTTTTTAAGACATTTATGCCTGTGTGAACTATAGAGAATATGAAAACTGAACTTATTTCAAACATTTCTTCTTCGACATCTATCGCATATGAATCTTTTGTGTACACCATTTTGGAAGATGAGTCAGACTTGTATGAAAAGGCATGATTGAGCTAACAAGCCATGCAAGTTCAACAACGACAACGATTTCTGAGCTTTTTCAAAAGGCTTTGATTTCCCAAAAAAAAAACTCACGGAAGGGACATAACATGCATTTGTATTAGTGAGAGCTCAACTGAAATAGTTAAGCGTAGGGAATGTTATACTAGTATGAAGGAAGTTGACTAATCGAAATAGAAGAGTGAGAAACATGGAATTGTTTTCTCATGAATCTAGTTCTCATATAATTCTTTCAAAATTCATCTGAACTTTCATTTGTGAAATCGAATGATCAACCTAACAAGTGATTTTGACAAAGATAAAGATCTTTTGAAGTTGACCAGCATGAAAGGTATCTTGTTCACCTTATGAAACACTTCAACAGAGCTTGAATCCTTTTGATATTCACTACAGTTTTCTCTCATCCTCATTCCGCTTATTAGGACAATGAGAATAAGACTACTGACTATAAGTGAAATATTGAGAGAGAGAGTTTCAAAGGTGTGGGCTAAGTGAGAGAGTGGAAAGTCTTTCCCTTTATGTGAACTAAAAGTGGAGGATCAAAAAGAATAGGCTATTTGCATATGCCGAAGAAGTTGTACAGTATACTGGTCGTTCTCATTTTTCTCTTTGAAGTAGTAGATTATTGTATGGAAGGTGAAGAGGAGGAAAAGGTTGCTGGAAAAGACATCGAAAGAATCGAACACATAGGCGAAACATGGCGAGGGCAAATGGGAGGTAGAGAGAAAGGCACATTGTTTGAGTCGACCTTGAAACGAGGCAATTATCATTCTACCCTCTCACTCCTCTTCTACTTCCACAACACAGACAACTTATCTCTTCTTTTTCTTTCCTCTCTACTCATTCGTTCCTTCTGAACGAGAGGTAGAATGAGAGAAAGAATAAAAAGAAATAATGAAGAGACACAGAAAAAGCACCCATGAGAGTTGGTTTAGTTGAGAGAGGATGCGCAATACAGAGAATAAGAACATGAACAGTTCGTCCCGATAGACGCGAGGGAGAGGAAAACCGAATTCATCGGCATCAGCCCGATGGCTACGAAACTTGAAAATTCATGTTGACAGTTTAACCGAGGGGCAACTTTAGAATTTTGAAAATACGCAATTCCAAAGTTTGAAAATAAGATACAAAGGAAGGGAAGAGTGATCCATAAACTCTAGAACATTCTATGGTCATGACCATGAAATGGTTCGATATATGATGGGCCACATAACATCAAAACATAAAATAGAAGGAAATTATCGTAGAAACGTACGTTGCGATCCGTCGACTGAAGCCGTCACAGTGGACAGTGAGCTTGAGTGGATGAGGCGAAAAAAAAATGTGGAAACGCATACACCCTCGTTTACTCAGTTGCACATGGTTTACTCTGATATTTATTCATACAAACCATTTATCCCATCACAGAAACTGTCTGAACCGAAAATTTTCGTGCGTTGCCTAACAAATCGGAAGAAAGGACATACGAAAATGCTCATTGGTTTGTTGTTCTCATGGCATATGCGAATCCGTTGTTAGCCATCTGTCAGACAGATACCGACATACGTTCATAGCAATTTATGAAAACAATGATTTCATTGCTTGTTTCATTTCCTAACAGATCAAAGAAATTCGTACTTTACGAAAAGAATTTCAATTTTTGCTGCCAATCCTTTCTATTTTCTGCCTCATCATACAAAAAGAGGAACACAAAAACGTCCTGGCTGCTAATGCTTTGATTGTGCAAGGCAATTGAAAGGAAAGAGATACGAGAGACAGAAAACAACAAAGATGGGAATTGTCATTACAAATTTTAATCCGCACAGTTCCCAATAAAAAAAGATTTCTCAACGTTTATCTTCTTGATATTCAATGGAACTGTAAAACGTACAAGAAGGCTGTTCCTCTTCTCTCAATCGACTATAACCAATCCCAAGACGTTGATACTAACAATAGCCGTAATGAATGTTCATTAGGAAACTAATTAACTACTAGTTTTTATGTATCATAATCCATCCTACAATTCATCTTAACAAAGATATTTCAATAACATAGTTATGAGGTTTGAACTAGTTCGTTAGTTGCACATGTTCTACCTCTGCCCGAGTATAATACAAAGAGGAAAATATTTTCTTTTCAATAAAGGAAAATTTAATTATGTCACAATTACCATTCAGTCAACTACAAGTTACAGACAATTGTCCAGTGTTCGTCTTATGAGAAGCACTCGCATGAGTAAAGCCTAGTGTACATACTACTACAATTATGTATCATGAACATGAAAGACTATTTCAGAGGACAAGTGGTTGTTTCTGTTTCTACTGACAGTCTGCTTTCTTTACCACATAATCAGACAAAGGAAAAAGTACATAGGAGCCATGCAAGGGTTTGTTGCGTACGTTAACGAAGCCTTATAACGGCCCTGGAGACACAGCTGGCAGCAAACGCGATTGTGTCGAACGATAACGCTCTTTGTTTAAGGAGAGTATAAAAGGAACAGATTACGAGAAAAATGGATGTGAAGACAGGAGATAAGATTTAGTGTATGGGCAGAGGTGAGACAAAAGGAAATATAATTTTTACGCGCTGATGTCGTTGATGTGTTTTGCAACTTGGCCACGTGCCAAACAATAGATTAGAGCAGAAAAGTAACTAATATTATCGCGGAGGGATAATACTTATCCAGTTGTTTGGCTAGATGTAAGTTAGATTTGAACAAAGCCGGACAAGATGAAAATAGAGCTTTTCTAATAATATATACCTGTGCGTCGCAGGGAGACGCACATTTCAGGGCTGAAATAGAAACAACCGATCTCAGCTAGCGTAACATTTGAAATGAGTTTGAATGCCACGGATTTTTTTTTTGAAATTTCACGTGTAACCGAAATCAAGTATAAGTAGCTGCCTTTTCAGTTTTCCTTGGAAAGCGTAAAAACTGATGGGCGGCTCAGTGGCGGCTATAATCCGTTATGTTGGATTTCTAAAGAAAAATAATCCATTCGAAGCCTTAAAAACAATTATTTTTATCATTTATCTATTTGTCGAAATTTCAGCGATAGCTATCTTTATTCTTTCCGTTCATATACTACGTTACAATCCAATATAAACTTTGATAGCTTCGTCACATTTTATAGAATCCTCCTAATAAGACAATTGCGCTTCAGTGACAGAAGCCAACGTGGACTAAGCTGTTTGGCACTTCAGAACGCTCGCGCATCGCTTGACGCGACGGTCTCGGGTGCCAAGCAGAGAGTACCATGTTCAATGAATAAAATTTTATTGCATATTATTTACTATACAGTCTAGATGTCGATCAAGAGATCAAAAGTTCTAATTGTTTGTTTCGTGTTTCCATTGTTCGAGCCTATCCTTTGTGCGTGAACCACTCGACACCCGCATGTACTCATACTTTCCTAAACTTGTCTCCAAATCAGATTCCCAAGTAATCCACCTCGCAAAGACTGTTCTTTTACTTACGAGAATAAATTTAACATTTTCCCGTAGAACTTCAATTCTGGAATAAAAATGAATTTGATCAATGGCAAGATCTATACCCTTCTCAATCAGTAAGGCTCATCACTGGTTGTGCTCCATTGACCTAAGCGGATGACAGTACTTGTAGGCAATAGGAGAAATAGATTCTTCCCCAGCGAATATACGCATTTGACTACAGAATTTTTTCTGTTCAACAAAATTATAAAATGCAAGCCTGACTTTTGAGAACCTCGAGTAGATGTCATTAGATATTCTCTTTCGTCACTAAGATCGACGGATTTATTGAACATGATTCTAAGACATGGTGAAGCTGATTGAGCAAAGTAAAATGAAAACTAATCATACGTTATTAGACATTTAATAATCAATTCATTTAATCATTGAGACATAGTATTAAAACTGCAATTCCATTAATTCCATTCTAATCATTCAATTGACTCTCTCATTCGTAAAGCCAGCTTTGACGACTTTTAAAAGCATCAGCTACATGAAAAATCTTAAGTCTATTGCGACATCCCCCAACACACAGCGAGACTTTCTCGGGAAAGATTTTCCGAACAACCTGAAATTGAAATTACAGTTTGGACAATAACCAATGTTAGGTTAATATGCAATCTGATAAGCACTCAGTCAGTATTAGTCCTAAATAGGGGAAGATATCTAAGATGAAAGAGTGAAAAGTATCACTAATTGTTGACTCTATATCTCTCTTTATCTTTGCCGCAAGACGAGGTGCCAAGACCTCAAAATTGTTCTGAACATAACTACATTGAGAGTAAAGAACAGAAGTAAGCAGTTTCTTAATTTCCAAAGAACAAGAAGACGAAAAGATGTTTTACGGTATAGTTTGTGGTTACCTCTTTACATTCAAATTAGTTCATCGACGATCTCTACGTATGATCTACATTTGGGGTAATACTCGTATCTTGGGAACATAAGTTCCTTCCCTAAGATTTATTTTTTGAATCGAGAGCATCTGTTCAAAATTGCGAGAAGTCGATTTCGTAACCTGATGAATACTTTTCTCAAAACATAGAAGATTCTTTGATGCTGTCTTTGGCTTTTACACTACAGTGGAACAACAGAATGTGGAGCATGTGTTTTCAGAAGACGAAAAGGAACAAAGAAAGTTTGTTTTTTTTCATAGAAATCAGGTTGTTTTCTAAAGAAATATTTTGATTCAGTTTTGAATGTTTGAATTTGAAAGCTTCCTGGAAAAAATATACATTTATTCAAATTTAACATTTAACGCTAATTTGTTCTGGGAAGGTTTCATATGAACCGTGGACCCAGCGTAATAAATAGAAAACGGCAGATAACAAGAGATCAGACAATTCCTACCTTCATTCATCCTCCAGAGTGTTATTGGGTAACCATAAACTCTGAAAATAGAATATACTTCTGAATGCTCTAAACACGGTATCTTACCAATTTGCTGCAAGCGGTAGCTAATAAGAAATATTTTGGATTAAATTTAGTTATTCGCATGGAGGATTCGTGTTCTGTCGCTGTTCGTGAGACGATATTACCTAAGAAGAACTCATCATAATATTCACAAACTGTAAAACTAACCTGATTCCGCGTACCAACAATGTAAGTGAGCATCTGATGAACCACAGAATACGAACTGTGAATCAGGAGTGAAAGTAGCTTCCATTACTTCGTTCTAAATGAGGAATATGGATAAACTGTATATGAACTAATAGCTTTTCATGGATGAAAATTATAAGAAATATGAATGAATTAATAATAAACTTCTGAAGCAAACCTTTTCATTAGAATGACCTCGAAGAACGGCTTTAGTGTCTCCGTGGAAAGCATCTACTATTCTAAAGAAAACATTTGAATTTCCATCAGTCAATCATGATTCTTACTTTATATAATCACTATTAGTATTAAGCATTATCAACTTTCCATCTGGGGAGAACTCAATTCCTGTCCACTCAGCATTGTCAAGTTCTTTGCCTACTTGGAAAGTCATGAAAGGACCCTGCAGCTCAACAAATTTAGAACTGAACGAAACTGGTTAAAACCTTATCAAATGAACGGAGATCATATAATTTGATATGCTCATTGTTTATTCCTGCACCGAAGATGAGACCCTCTGGATCAAAAGCTGCAATTGCTCTTCCGTTTACCTGCATTAAACCCTAAATTAATTGCTGTTAACGAAGAACAGAGAAGCTGACAATACTTGACAATTCTGAGACCTGAGATCCCACAATCTAATAGATTTATCCAAGGATCCCGAGAGAAACATATCATCCTGTGGGGACATACATAAGCACGTGACTCTAGAGAGAGGAACAATGAGAGCAATAGTTGATTGCGAAACTAACTTTTTAGTGTGCCCTGGAAAATATCGCAGATATTTGTTATCATGAAGAGATAAGTACCGAAGTGAGTCTGAATTTTAGGGGAATTACGTATTTTATTTCGAAATCGGAATTACCATCAACTTTAGTTGAACTGTGAATAGCCGTGGTAGGGTTATGTGCGTATCGTATCAAACCCACACCATACTTCTTACTGTTTACTTGCTGAAACACAGCTATCAAATACAGAACTAACTAAAAAAGAGCTCACTATTCCTTTGTCTCGTACTCCAGCAGTCAAATTGTAAACAACAATACTGTCATCGTCACTAGATGTGATCATAGAAGTTCCATCTGGACTGAAATCTATGCAGTTGATTTTATACGAATTTTCAGTAAAAGTTTTGGCACAGTCAATATTCCGAATTTTCGTAGCATCTAGCTTCATCTGAAAAATTTAAGAAACAGTGAGGAGTCAAACATAAGGAATAGGCAAGAAAAAGAAAATAAAAAAGAGTTCAAACGATTTAAGATGTTTGAGAGGCATTTGCAAACACCGGTGAGGTTTGAGTTGTGGTTATATATCCTCTCGAATCGAGACGTTCACGCGAAAAACGAGTACTGCGTATGGAAGTTGCTAATGAACTTCTCCGTAGATGTATACTTTGAAATTCTCTTAAATACTTCCGATAATTTCTATTTCACAGCGGAACATGCGATATATCGCAAGGAAGCTTGATGATCAGCTTGATATCTTAAGCGTCTGTGACATTTCTGAACAGTTAGATGTGCAGGCAAAGGGGCGTGGCTTAAGAGTCGCCAGCGTTGCGTTCGTTTTCAAGACTAAAATATTAAGAAAAATTTCTCATATTGACTTACAGTGTAATTTATTCCAAAATCTTTATAATAAAATGTCAGACAAATAATAAGGTGGCTTCAAGTACCAGGGAATGTCGGACACACCTGATCCAACCGAGGAACAGATACCCAATGAAGAAGCAGTTCTTGACTTATCATGCAAGCCTCAGGTAATTTTCTAGGTTCAATGAAGCATTGTGAACGTGAAAGATTAGTCATGAGTAAAACAAACTAGAAACGGTATTCCTTCAGTGGTTACTATTGGAACTATCTCTGTGACTCAAATATTATTCAAAAGCACCGTATATTTTTAAATAACGCAGAGACTTCAGACTCAAACTGAATATGACGAGCCAGAGAATTTCCATAGTCCAGCGATACGATGGAAGAAAGTAACAAGCAGCCAAGGAGCAACACCAAGGTTTCTTTTCTTTATTTTTCACTTTTTTTCATTTTTATCATTAATTAAAGACCCAGACATGGGCATCGTGCCATCCCTATCAAAGATTTAATGATCGTGTTCGGTGGTGGAAATGAAGGAATTGTAGACGAATTGCATGTGTATAACACAGGTAGGGTATTGCCTGTGAATGAATAAACGTTTCCTTCAGTTACTAATCAGTGGTTTGTACCCTCTGTACGAGGAGACGTCCCGAACGGATGCGCTGCATACGGAATTTTCGCAAACAGCACTTCTATTTTTATTTTTGGAGGAATGATTGAATTCGGAAGGTAGGAAATTATATATGTTATCGAATTATGTTAGTTTCACAGATATTCGGGTGATCTTTTCGAGTTACAAGCGTCTCGTTGGGAATGGAGGAAGTTACGTCCGAGGCCACCAAGAGATGGTTCCCCAGCTCCTTGTCCTAGGTTAGGACATTCAATTTTACTCGACAGTACACAGGTACATTTCATATACCGTTATGGTTTCAAAGCTTTTCACAGACGTGTTTCCTGTTTGGTGGATTATCTAATGAGTCGACAGATCCAAAAAATAACGTTGCCCGCTATTTGAATGATTTGTATTGTATGGATATGAGTCAACCACCTAATAATTTATTATGGACCAAACCGAAGGTAATTAATTCTCAAAGTGACTGTGTTCATCTTTATCATTAAGACGTTCGGTCCCATTCCTGCAGCTAGAGAGTCACATTCAGCCTGTTTGTTTGAATCAAATGGTAAGAGACAAATGTTCATATATGGCGGAATGAACGGATGTCGCCTCGGCGATTTATGGATATTAGATCTGGATACCCTAACCTGGCAAAATCCTTTGGTAATTTTGTGCTTGAATTGGTATTTATACACATACTGTTTCAGCCGTTAGGTATGAATCCTCTACCCAGATCTCTCCATACTGCGAATGCAATCGGAGATAGGATGTATGTTTATGGAGGATGGGTAAATAACATAAAATGCATATCAAATTCATCCATATATATTCAGGTACCTCTCTCGTATGATACCGAGCTGGATGGTATCTCAATCGAGAAAGAATGGAAATGCACAAACTCTTTGGGTATTCTTAATATGAAAACGTTGACTTGGGAGCAACCTAATTTGCCTTTTTATGAAGGTATGAACTTTGAGATAATTGTTAGTGGATATTTGAAGTAGGCTATGAAGATGGGCTGCCACGTGCCCGTGCTGGACATTCATCCGTGGTTATTAATAAAAGAATATGGATATGGTCTGGTAGAGATGGATATCGTAAAGCATGGAACAACCAAGTTAGTCGTACTCTTATAAACGATAATTAATTTTTGACTGATTCAGGTGTGTTGTAAAGATATGTGGTTCTTAGAGACAGAATTGCCTGACAAACCAGGCAAAGTCCAATTAGTGCGTGCGCAAGTGAACGCATTAGATGTAAGGTGTTTTATCCATTACGAATATATTTTATTTCTTTAAGGTAGCTTGGGTAGGCGTGCCAACGGCGGAAGCCTATTTACTGCAGTTACAGAGGATTGATATGAAAGAAGAAGATGGTATTAATTAATAATGGAGGCATACACAAAAAATTTTATTGTAGTTATGAAGACGGGAATGGTGAAAACCAAAATGTTTCTCAGACCAAACGTGGCTACTCACTCTCCTGGTCAAGCTTATATGAAACTAGTAGGAAAGAACGGGAATAGCACACAAGTCTTACGGGTTGTCAAGCAAGGAGGGCCTAGTATTCCATTAGTAAAGACGGGCTCCAAAACTATAATTATTACAAAGCCTAACACTGGATCATCACAAAAGTATGGCGTGTTACTTGATGGTGTCACCTTAATTCATAACATTGAAGAGTTGTTTATCTTGCCAGCGGTAATCATGGTGCGGAAGCAGGAGCTGGAGGTCTCTCAACTCAAGGAACAACATATACAGCACCACAGCAACCTGTTAATAATGACGAGGTTAGATCATACTATTTTCATATTACCAATTTGTTTTAGTGTGGGTTACCACAAAATCTATTTGATGAAGGAAGTGGAGATGACAACACACCACCTTCGCCCTCTAAGTCAACTGTTCAAGTATAATTTTATTGAAAGTGAATTATTATAATGATAATATTGTAGAGCGAGTCGGACTCTGCTCAAGCACCTGCACCAGAGAGAATACCATCAACTTCTACAGAATCTGATGCTCCTTCGGTCGATATGGACATTTCCAACAGAATTATGAGTCCTAAAGCAGTACGTGCTCAATCCTTTTTCCCGTTACAAAGGATCACATTGCAGAACAGCCAAGTCGAAGAAGAAATTTGGTATGATGTTGGAATCATTAAAGCAACTAGTCTCACCATTCAACATTACTATCTACCTGGCGACACTCCTTTGGAGAAATCGTATGGAGTAAGTTCTCCTCAGTGGTTGAGAATCATCAAAGCAACTTTCAGACGAGCGAGCTAGAAATGTCTGGCTTTGGTGACATAACAGTGTCTAAAAAAATGGAACTAGAGTCTGGCCATGCGTATAGATTCCGGGTGGCTGGATTGAATTCTCTAGGCAGAGGTCCATGGTCGGATGTTGCTTCTTTTAAAGTACCGAAACCACCTTTTCCAACCACAACTATTTCTCCTCAGACATGTTTGCCTGGTTTCCCTGGTGCTCCTTCCTCGATCAAGATCACTAAGAGTACAGATGGTGCACATCTCACATGGGAACCTCCAGCAGTTATCGCAGGTAGTTGTTAATCAGAAGAAGTCATTTCATGAAATATACTTCACAGGACGTGTAACAGAATATAGTGTGTATCTCGCTGTGAGGAATAACAGTATGCTACAGGATTCTGCTTTGGCTTTCATGAGGTAAGTTACGATCTTATTACGTATACATTAGACCCCTATTCTTTCTCCTTGAGCAGTAGATCTTCTGTAATTTTTATAACATATTCAATTTCTTCCTTACAGAGTTTATGTTGGTTTGGAACCTTCTTGCACAGTACTGCAAAGCAATCTAACTGCTGCTTATGTTGATACTTCGTCCAAACCTGCTATTATTTTCCGCATAGCGGCAAGAAACGAAAAGGTGTGTGAACTGGCTGGTTGTAAAACTGATCTTGTTTTTCTAGGGCTACGGACCAGCTACTCAAGTTAGATGGCTGCAAGATCAAAAACTCACGTCAGCCATGAGTCGATTCCCCGTCACAAATGTTCATGCAGGTGCTGCGTCCAATCCCAACTCCTCTTATTACGCGTCAGTAAAACGGTCAAGATTGGATTAAAATCACATAATTATAACTTGTCACACATTGTAACATTATGCGTTCCATGCATATATATTAAATCCAGATCTCGAAAACGGACCTTTCTAAGTACATGATTAACGCTTTGTTGAACTATTGTCTTTATTTGATAATAAATACTATTTAATGCATTTTAATTCAAGGCATACGAATTACTTTTGACTAGAGAATAAAAAAAATTATTTTCAGGATGCAGAACGGGGGCTTGTTTAGAACAGTGTGTAACGGCCAGTATTATGCTTTCTCATCGCATAGTAATGTGGTCGTCGTGAGGCACTCTCCCTGATTTCTCGACCAAGAGATTTGCAGTTCAGCTTTTGAAATTGGTGAATGGCTCGTTTGAAGTTCTGAAGATACGTACTCTGTCTGAGCCTAAATATGCCACATACCTTATCTTTCTTCCAGGGTAAAACAAGATTAGCTGTTAGTTGACCATCAGCTACATTACTGGCCATAATTAGGAAACGCTTGTCACTTTCATCAGCAACTCTACAGGGACAGTCACGATAATCGGAAGATAGTCGGATTTCTGAACAATTTTCAAAGTTGTGAATAAGTGCATTTGTATACCAGTCTCGGGAACATTCCTTCGACGGTCTCCTTTCTTCAAACTTCTTCCACCACGTACAGTTATATGAGTGCCGCTTAGCTTGCCAACTTTTCCTTTGAGAACTGAACGATAGAAAATATGGTTTAATATGGAAATTTAATAATTTACCTAATGTACTGCGACAGAACTGGTCGACAAGATTCTCGTATGTGGAAACCTGGTTGCAGGCTGGACAGCTGATATCAGTAGCTGAAACTTGATATTCAAGATGAAAGTATACCGACACCACGTATGTGAGCAACACTAAGAAGTTGAAGGAAAATTAGACGAAAATCTCTCAAATCTCTCTAGAGCATAAGACTGGACATAGGACGAAAACAGGGAAGGTGGATAAGGAGACCAAAAGCCTTCATAATAATAATATTGATTGATTGATGATGGCAAACGTGATCTCAAAACATTGAGAAAAGATGAACTGGTCAAAGCAAATGAACAATTTTGGAAACTTTTCGGGAGGGGGAAAAAACGATAAAACCATCTGCTAGAACAAGAAGGAAGTTGTATATAAACTAAAAATGTAAACTATAATCAAAATGAAAAGATCAAAGATATACAGAAGTATATTCTATTTTCTCTCAAAGTACACATGACCAAATAATGAGAGAGAAAAAGCTTTTACAAGCGGAAATTCAAAACTCACCTTTCTGTTGATTAACTTGTTGAATGCACATGTTGTTATCCTCGGGATATTTTTGGCAGGACAACATCTCGGGCCAAGGAAAACCATAGTTTCTCATTCTATTTTCACAGCCCTTAAACGGAATGCTCAAAACTAATTGCTTTACGTTAAACGATTTACCTGTTTAACAGCTAAACAGAGAGATCTACATGGCAAAATTTCCCTATCCATAGAAGGTATACAGATGGGAGCAAATAGTGAACAAAGAAAAAGCTAAAATTAAACAAGAATAGATGAAATAACATCAATCAGCAAGTTTGAGATTTCAATGGCACGCAAAAATGAATCGAAGTTCTATTCATGAGCAAAAGAAAAGAAAAAAGTGAATTACTGACCTGAGTATCCGGATGACAATTCAGTTTTAACAGCGACTCCCAATCTCGAGATGCATGAATAGCTTCATTTAACGTCTCGTGTTCGAGCAAATTAGGAAGTCGCATATGTTTGTACTGAAAAACTTGTAGTTTGCACAAGATGTGGACAGTCGATAGAAGTTTTTCAACGCCAAGGCATGAGTAGCGAAAGGAAGAAATAAACACGATGACATACCTGAATCCCATTGCATATTGTTAAATTTGTTGGAATGTCCACACATCTAGGCCCACTGGGCCGTTCGGAACTAAGCATAGCCCAGGAATCGGACATATACGATGCTGTTTCAGCCCATATTGGGAAAACAAGAAGTAGACTAGTTAATAAAGATAACTGTCGAGTATACTTAGTCATAATTAATAGCAAACGTTATTTTTAGTGCTGGTTCTCAGCAGATTAGTAGGTTCACTTGATCAGAAAGAGGAAGAGAAAGCACAAAGTTAAGGTATCTCTGAAATCTTTCTGTCACTAAAATCCAGCTTGGTAGACACGCAAATCACGGACAACTAAGATTTAACCAATGACTGACTCGAATGGAGGCGGAGTCAAAGAGTTGAAGACGACAGAGCAAGAAAATCCTCTTGCCGTCTGTTCTTCGAATTAGAAGAGAAGAGAATAGGAGCTGAACCGAACAGAAAGAGAGGCGGTGAGAGAAAGTATCTAATAACTTACGATAAACAAAGTCAATTTCGCCTGTATATGGTCAAATCGACCCAGACTATTACTGCCAAAGAACCGATTGGACAGACATATACTGGGCGTGGCTTGACTCTTTTGTGATCTGCCAAGTATGTGCGAAATACAGTAGAGCACCAAGGGTGCTAATAATTCTTTTTCAATGTTCATATTAAGCATTGTCTTTTAGACTTTTGCCTTCGGGATTTCTCAAAAGCTAATTAGCAGCCACATCCTTTAGATATAATTCTTTAGTGAAAACACCTGGAGTGCTTAATTACCTATAGAACAAGGCCAACAACAAGATGAGCACCTGTGCCAAAACTTCCGACGATGACAAAGCAATCTTCTGGTTGAAAAGCCTTTTACGTTCAACTTTATTGTTCCGAAAATGTTCTAATTATAGACTTATAAAGAGACAACACGAGAAGCACCAGCTGAGCAACGGATAAATATGAAATGAGCGTGAAGCCACGGTTAAGTTACGTGAAAGTCCACTAGTATTTTCATTTTACTCGACTCATGTGTTTTGATCGGCCGTACACGGCATTACATACTAACATCAAAGCTCCATTTTTATCTAGGAAGTAAGAACGTATATAAACGATTTAATACATGAATGGTTACAGAACTAATTGGTCTCGAAGTTCTAATCATAGATGGTACTCACAAATTTATGATGTGAATTCACTTTTCCCATTTTTATAATGAAAAAAAAACACTTCAGAATTGCACACACTGCTGGAAGTTTCCCAGAGGACTTTCTCAGTCAAGAATCGGGGGAAGAATAATTCCTTCTAGTGCTTGTACATTTATAGCTCTGAAAATGGCTTATTTCATACAGGAGTAGAACCTCATATACATACACTGATTTCATCTGTTTGTTTAGAAAGCAATGCAACTTGGATACACTGATAGAATCAAACCTGAATAATCTGAAACCTTTCCCAGTATAATGCATTTCTTTGGCTCAGTAAAATACATCTCAGGTACCCCTTCCATATGAGCTGCTTAACATGTTTTGCAATGCAATTATCGATGGTAATGAGCTTCATGAACTTGCATATAACGCCAGGTTGTTCGATTGAGAGTCCAGAAAAAACATGCCTTTCAGGCAAAAGCGAATAGATACCTTCAATATACCTGATGCTATTAGTTCTATGCGAGGCATTCTACATGAGGTTGTAGTTACTCACTAGTGTGACGATAGTGGCTTTCAGATAGATTTCATGGTGTATGAAGGACAAGCTTGGCTAGACTTCTACAATGTTCTGAAAAAAGTTTATGAAAAGTTAGAGCTGTCGCAGAACCCATCTTCTTTTAAAATTTATTTCAGTGATGCAGTAAAGCGTGTTGAACGGCTTTGTTTCGTCATTATCGCCATGGAAAGAGCAATACTGTTAGTCTGCGAAAGAAAAACTAACAGTATCTTCGTTTTTGATTCGCATGCTCATGAGCGTGGAACATCGGGTACGATAGATATATTCTGCTTAACATTGACTCTTTGTAAGGTGCTTTCATATCAGCAACCAAGTTTTCAAACCTCCTACAATTCTCCATGCATTTATTTTCCCTGTTTTTCCCTGATGTGGTCACTCGAGGACAGTCCCAAGTATTTCGTAACCCAAAAACTAACCTCAAAATTCACATTCAGAAGTTTGAAATTTCGTGCATTCAATTGAACAATTCTGATAAAATCACTGAAAAGGTATTCATTATCTTATCAATACTTTTTTTTTTACCAATTTTCCTATAGATTTTCCCAAGAAAGTTTGGAATTTTGAAACAAAAAGTTGCATCACAAAAGCCAAAGAACTTCTAACTAAATACTTTACTAACTATGATTGCTAACCCTCATTAACTATTAAATTATTTTCAACATTCATTGCAAACCATTTAAACTCTTTTCGTTTGTTCCTGGGCAGTTATCGGACATCACTGCGCCGCTATAGGTCTCGACACGATTGGCCTGGAATGAACGAGACAGTGTTACTTGCTGACGATTCATCCCCTCTACTCAACTGCTCCCTAAATCTAAAAGAAGAATGAATGTTGTTTAACGTTACTATTAATTTTTTCTTTGTGTATTTTTAATGTCATACTATTTGAGAAAGTTCCCAATTCATTCTTCCTTTAAATTGCATAGTAATTTTGAATCCCTAGTTGAAGAAACTCCTCTTTTTCTCACATTGCTCATTTTTTTCGTCATTTCTTCTAAATGTTTTTTTTTGTTTTTGAGTTGATTTTTAATTTTTTTTTTCTTAGAAACATGGGTCGCCGTCCGGCTAGATGTTACAGATACATCAAGAACAAGCCGTACCCCAAGTCTCGCTTCTGTAGAGGAGTTCCTGATGCTAAGATCAGAATCTTCGATCTCGGAAAGAAGAGAGCTGGAGTTGATGAGTTCCCATTCTGTGTGCACATGATGTCCATCGAAAGAGAACATTTGTCCTCTGAAGCCTTAGAAGCTGCCCGTATCTGTTCTAACAAGTACATGGTTAAGAACTGCGGAAAAGTGAGTTTACCTGGTGCAATGTTTTCTCATTTCCAATTTGTAGGACTCTTTCCATCTTCGTGTCAGAAAGCATCCATTCCACGTTATCAGAATCAACAAAATGCTTTCATGTGCTGGTGCTGATCGTCTCCAAACTGGTATGCGTGGAGCTTTCGGTAAACCACAAGGTCTTGTCGCTCGTGTTGATATCGGTGATATCCTCTTCTCCATGAGAGTTAAGGAAGCCGTAAGTTTTTCTTATTTTTCCACGTTTCTTATTTTTGTGTTTAAGAATATCCCACATGCTATTGAGTCCTTCCGTCGTGCCAAGTTCAAATTCCCAGGACGTCAGCTTATTGTCACCTCCCGCAAATGGGGATTCACCCGTTACGACCGTGACGTTTACGAGAAAATGAAGTCTGAGGGAAGACTCCGTCATGACGGAGTCAACGTCCAGCTTATCAGAGAGCACGGTCCTCTTTCCAAGTGGATTCAAAACCCCATCTAATTGTTATTCTGGATAATGAACTTGTTACTATAATAATTCGTTTTATGAAGATTGATAATAATTTGTCTGGAGGGATTCAAGGGTTCGATGTTTCTGGAAGGCATAGTATAATGTTTCTTTCAAACAGTTCGGTTCGACCTGTTGAGAATTGGAAGTCTCGTTTCCTTCGAATAGATCCGGATGTTTGTTCCAAGGAACATTAGTTCGCTTTTACTTCTACTGATACAAACAGGACTTTGTTGAAATGACCAAGTTTAAATGGGAGGAATAGGCTTTCGATTTCCTTTCAAGTTAAGAAGATACAGGCGGTTGTGAAAGTTTTATTTATTCACAATTTATCCCCTACTTTCGCCAATTCATTCTGAATTTTAAATATTCATATTCATGTCTCAAGTATAAATTTGAATTATCATTGAGGGATGACGGATGTTTTCTTGATTTTCAATACCTTTGTTCTGTATTTTGCACATGTGTTATTGCCCTTAAATAGACAATGATTTTGAGCGTTCCACTTCCGTTCATTTCGAGGACACTTCTTCAGATGATTGTGGATGTTTGAGATGTTTAAATCGTAGACCCGTTAACTACATCTAGGTTATCATGTAGTGAATCAATTATTATTTGACTTTTTTCTTCAAGCGTTAAACGACTAGTGTATTATAGGCATTTACCCAATGGGCTCTCGATTTGACTTATGTTTAGAGCTGTGAAGTAAATTAGAGGAGGAGCTAGAGGATTAGAGACAACATATGTATGAGAATTTTGCTGATTTCTATCGAAGGTCATAACGATCCTTTGTCACTTGAGTCATTTTACCGAGCTGTGCGCGTTGCTCTTGGCAAGTTTGTCGACCCAGGTCATGCTGGACATCCCCATTTTCTAACTGACCAATAGCTCAATCAGTGTTGTTTGAATCCACAATCCTGTTCGGTGGTATGCGACCTGAATGCTTTCTTTATCCTATCTCATTGACATTTTTCTTTTTTTCTTGTGATCTCACTCGCTACTTCCTATGATATATTCCAGATATCTTTAGTTCTGGATTTTTTCTTAATGACCGTTTTGAACATTAGTCATTCTGAAATTAAATTAACTTCTTAGCATTCTTCGTGAATGATGATAATGCGTTTGAACTGTTACGAAAGTTTCTGAGTGAATACAGCAGTTGAGAGCTAGAGGAATATCTGTTTTGATACGGCAATGAGATTAGCATAATGACGTCAGTGACGTGGATTAACGGCGATCGCTTATGTTTCTTTCATCCTCTCATCTTTTACTTTCCACAGAGAACGGTTGTGTTTCTAATGTATCTAAGGATTCCAGAATAAGACAGTAGGGATTCACACTTGAACCATTAAAATGCACTGCTTGACTTTTGAGAAATGTAACATTGCTTTCTAATGGGGGTATATCTTGATAAGTCTTTCTATGTAGCTACCGTATATGGATCATGGTCAGCTCTGTTAGGTCGGCTAAGAGATGGCCCATCCAGTTACTGATTGTATCTACCCTCATTCTGATGGCTATTCCCGATATAGAAGGGCCCAACCCTCTCTTATTTCTTTGGCATCATTCTCACCATTCTAACTATTCTCTCTTATTCCGCCATTCTTCTTTACCTCTTTTTGGTATTAGATATAAATCTCATATTTTTGGAATGTTTCTTTTTTATAACCAATAACGCTTGTGTCATCTTATGATTTTCCGAGTTTTTCTTATTCTATCAAGAATATAACCCCAAAGCTTAATATCACAGATACACTGTATGACATTCCCAGTGGCATCTTGTATCTCCCACAGTTTGTTGAGCGCGAATTTACCTAATGATCAGGTCATTTCCCCCTTTGCTTGTCAGCCCTAAAACAGCATCATCATTTTCTGGTATCATGAAGAGGGCGGATTGGAAATGAGAGAAGAAAGATGACCGTGTTCTTCTAATTTCTTTGCACAATCATTTTCTACTGATTGCATGGATGCTTTGTGTGTCTCCTTATCCTTTCCACTGCTATTGCCCAGTTGACCCTGCGACTCATCGGGATTCCGTTGAGGCTTCTAACATCTACTTGTCTTCATGTCTTCTATCTATGTTTCTCGGATGCTATCTCTTCAGCTACCGCCTCTTCTTCCCCCTTGCCTTCCCTGTCACTAGGTATTGGGGTCAAGGCAGTTGGCTGGAAAAACGTCGTACAGACGGAGCGTAGCAGTAACGATCAGTCCGGAACAGTACGCCATACCTGTCGGCTTGTGTGTCTTCGTGCTGCTTAGATTTGTTTCGTTCTTGTCATCATCACCCACTATCAGTTTACTATTGTGTTGAGCCTCTGTGTCATAGCGCCTAAGCTAAGCATGACTGTATCTACAGGTCTTATCTCGACCTCATTTTTCAAATCTCTCACATGCGGTCTCTCATTCTTCGATTTAAACTCATTGTTTCGATTACTTATACTCTTTCATATATATTTCAACAGTTTCTTTTTCTTAGTTTATAATGATTTTTTCTCATTAGAACCACAAATTACCGCAAAATGAGGCGGTGGTTCCTGTTCTGTCTCTTGGCTCTTCCTGTTACCTGTGTGTTTGAATGCTCCTCCCAAGAAACTACAGCATTCGTTCGTATTGCTCGTGCTCGTCTCGATGGAACTCCAGTCGTTATTTCTACTGCCGGTAAGACATTTGTCGTTGTTGAAACATTTTGATATTCTTCTACTGTTCGTTATTATCTCGACAATCGGTGATTAGCTTGCTATGTAGGGAAATGATCTCTGCAGGAGGGCTTATCCTTGAATAGTGATAGTCAGATGACGACCATCACCTAGAAACTGTAAATTGGTGATTCATGAAAAGAAGTCCACTACTTATCCTATTCTTGAATGTCCTAAAGTCGTTGTTCAAAAAGCGCCTGATGTAGGTTTCTCAAAGTGCTTGTACGATGTCGGCGTTGCGCTTTCGCTTTGCTGACCCAATTTCAATCTCCATTAGCTGTCACGGTGTCTGATAATGATGATTATTTGTTATGAATAAGCGTATTATTCAATCAAAAAGAAACCATGAAAAAACAACTGCAATATCATCCACTGATGTGAATAATTGCAGGACATGATTTGACTTGCTCTCAATACTGCCGTAACAACATTGAGCCAACCACTGGAGCTCAAAGAGTATGTGCCTCTTTCAACTTTGATGGACGCGAGACCTGCTATTTCTTCGATGATGCTGCCTCACCAGCAGGTTTGCTCTCTTCTAATTTCATCTCAATATAGTGTATGTTTTTAGGAACCAGCGAGTTAACTGCTAACCCTTCTGCCAACAACTTCTACTATGAGAAGACTTGTCTCCCAGCAGTCAGCTCTCATGAAGCTTGTACTTATCGTTCTTTCTCATTCGAGCGTATGCGCAAGACTACTCTTGATGGCTTTGTCAGAAAGAGCATCCAAGTTGCTAACCGTGAACAATGCTTGTCTGCTTGCCTTAAGGAGAAGGAATTCGTCTGCCGCTCCGTCAACTATAACTATGACTCTTACCTCTGTGAGATGAACGCTGAAGATCGCCGCTCTAAGCCAACTCATCTTCGCATGGCTGAAGATAATGTTGATTATTATGATAACAATTGCTTGACTCGTAAGTACATCTTCACTCAAGAATGTAACTTAATAATTATTTTTAAGGTCAAAACCGTTGTGGACCATCTGGAGGAAATCTTGTATTCGTCAAGACCACTAACTTCGAAATTAAGTTCTACGACCACACTCAATCAGTTGAAGCTCAAGAGTCATATTGTCTTCAAAAGTGCCTCGATTCACTCAACACTTTCTGCCGGTAAGTATCAAAGATGGAAAAACAGTTTTCATCATCAATTCTCAGCTCCGTCGAATTCAACCCTACTGAGAAGAACTGTATTGTTTCTGATGAAGATACATTCTCCCGTGCTGACCAACAAGGACAAGTTGTTGGAAAAGATTACTATGAGCCAATCTGTGTTGCTGGTAAGTTGATGAGAAAGAGAGTGAGCTTGATGAATGCAAGTCATAAACTAATAAGACTTGAAGTGAGGACTATATATGGAAATGACCTATATAACAGTTAGTTCGTGTTAAAATTCCGAAATGCGACTGACCATGGGGGCTATCAAACAGCTGAAAAAATTAGAAGAATTTTTGACAGTTCTTGAACGGTGACGGTCAGATGAAGAACCAATAACCTCCAATCAAGTGTCGTTGTGTCTTGAATTCATACTTTCGCAGTTAGAAGAACCGCTTGAAAAAATATATTTTTTTTCCAAACTTGAACTAGTGACACCAATTGAAATAGCCTGAAGGTGATCATAGCTATGATGGCCTTTACACCAATATCAGAACATCATATGCTCTTTCATCTGTTTCAAAATGTAAAAAGATGATGATTGCTAACATGCTATCTGTTTTATCGAAAATAAATTGAAATTTTTTTTGGTTCACATCCAAAAAAGTTGTAAACAGAGAAGGCTTTGATAGTTTTGGGCAAAAAGGTATGTAGGTCGGGCACGTAAGAGATAACAACGACCTTCACCTTTTATTCCTTTCTTTCATCACACAATTTTTCTTAGAAAAGAAAGAGATAAAGAAAAAATGGGAGAGATGAAGGGGATATGATACCGATATAACAGTTTGATTAATTCCGTCTCTTATAAAACTTTTTTTTTTGGTTGGTCCTAAATAGAAAGGGAATGAGGAAAAGTTAGTGTACTACTCACTATCTTCAATGAGAAATAGACTCTTATGAAATCTTTCTTAATGTTCCCATTTCAGCTGACCTTTCATCATCCACCTGTCGTCAACAATCTGCCTTCGAACGATTCATCGGAGTTTCTATTGAGGGTGAAGTTGTTGCCTCTGCTCAAGGTGTTACTGTCTCTGACTGTATCTCCCTCTGCTTCCAAAATCTCAACTGCAAATCTATCAACTACGATCGGTTTGTTTACTTTTCAAGAAAAAGTATTTTTACTCCTATTTTTACAGTACTGCCTCCACTTGCTTCATCTATGCTGTTGGACGTGCTGATGCTAATGTCAAGGCTAATCCATCCATGGATTACTATGAGTTCAACTGCGAATCTCAATTCGGAGGAATGGCTTTGTGTACCAACGAGGGAATCCGTTTCATCGTCAACACCAAGGAACCATACACTGGAGCCATCTATGCTGCTGAACGTTTCTCTACCTGCTCCCAAGTTGTTGAGAATGCCAAGCAAATCTCCATCACTTTCCCACCACCAACTGTATCTGCCGATTGTGGAACTGTCATTCGTGACGGAAAGATGGAAGCTTTGGTTGTTGTTTCTCTTGACGGAGTATTGCCACATCAAGTTACCACCGAATGGGATCGTTTCTACCGTGTCAGCTGTGATGTTTCTATGGATAAGATGGTCAAGGAAGGAACCGTTGTTGTCACCACAATCTATGAAGCCAAGTAAGATACATTTATACTCAACAAGTTCTTAACTGAATCTATTATAGCTCTCAAAACACCACTGTCCTCGAAGTAGCTACTCCACCACCAGTTACCGCTGAACTCTCTATTCTTAACCAATTGGAAGAGCCACTGCACAAGGCTTCCATCGGAGATCCACTCTTGCTTGTCATCACTTCTGAGCAAGCTGGACCACACAACATGATGATCACTGAATGCACTGCCACCCGTGTTGGAGGATTCGGAGATTCTGTACCTTTCACTCTTATTGAGAACGGATGCCCAAGATACCCAGCTCTTGTTGGACCAGTTGAGCAAGATTTCGAGAAGAGCCGTCTGAAGTCTGATCTTCGTGCTTTCCGTCTTGACGGATCTTATGATGTTCAAATCATGTGTACTGTTATGTTCTGCGCTGGACCAAACGGATGCCCAGTGGTAAGTAAACTTCATTCATTCCTCAGAAACAATTTTATTTTTCTAGTCCAACTGCCTTGACTCCGGAACCAATGAACTGTTCATGTCCCACGGACGCAAGAAGAGATCTACTGAAGAGGAAGGAGGAACTGAGACTTTGTCTGCTGTTCTTCGCGTTCTTGCTAAGGGTGAAGAGGAAGAATTGAATAGCAATTCATCTATCCATAGGTTTGTCTTTGCCTTATCGATGTACCGTTAGAGTGTGAAGAAGGAAAAGAATAAGAAAATCTACTAAGAAGACGGAGACATTTTTTGTCCTTTTCGTCTCCGTTTCGTCTGTCAAGCTGCTTTTGCATCTATTAGATGATGCTGTCAGTTAGTCTAAACGACGTCTTGGTTACATTTCTGGAAGATTCGAACGAAGTAACAGAGAGGGAAAGAAATAGAGAGAGAGAGAGAGAGGTGAAAAGAGAGAGAGAAAGTCTAAAAGAAGGAAAAAAATGTTTCAAACAATTGTATTTTGTGCAAGAAAATAGACGTTAAGTCGCAAACTCTTCACATTTTGAGTTATTTTAATTAATTTTCATTCCAATTTCAGCTTGCAAGATATGGATGATCTTGTCTGTTTATCTGAGACATGGTTCGTCTCTTCCATCGTCAGCATTTCCGTCGTTTGTCTCATTCTGTCAGCATTGATTGTTGTGTGGGGATGTAACTCATTACATGAGAAAAAGGTTAATCTACCAAAGTAAACAGAGAATAAGCTTGGAATGAAGCTTATGCTTAACACATATGCCTCAGCTTTCATCTCATCTCTTTCTCTTTTTACCTAACCAAAATGATAGATGTAAAGTAAGATATAATTAGTATTTTAAAATACTTATCACTATCATTATCATTTATAATAATTCTCATATGTCTCAATCATTCCGTCATTTCACATAATAATTTCCTTAATTGGCATATCCCAAGCTTAAAAAGTAAAAACAACCCAAAAATACTTTTTGAAGCATGAATAGAATGCTCTTATCGATGATGTCTCATTGCAATCTTCCTCTGACCCCGCTACACAACCTCATCCTCCCATTAGCAATAACTGAACGAGACAATCTCATTCTTATTATAAATAGGAAATGATATGATCGTTAACTATGCTTTTCCCATATTGTTCTGTTGGCATTCTGTTCTTTCTCCCCCTCCACCACTTCTACTACTACACACCCATGAGCTTCAATGCTCATCCTTTCATACATGTGTTCATTCCTTAACGTTAACGTCTCACCATCACTTTGCCACCAACATACATGCTTCATCATCTTCTCATACCAACCTATACACATACAATTGGGTATTGTATACACACCACCATAATAACATTTAGAAAAAAAATAATAAATGAAAATTGTCCTTTTTTCTCTTTTCTATTAAAGATACATACATAGTAAGCTGCTTATACACGAGTATTTGACCATTGTCTTTGATTTCAAGTAATAAAGTGTTTGAATAATTGTTTTTTTACTTCTTTCATCTTCTACTTCATCTACTTCATTCATTTTACGCATTTCGTGCTTACACAACCCTCTCTCTATACAATCATTCAACCTTACGTACACTTCGCTTTCACGTGAATATGCTAATTATAATGTTCTATCGCGTAAACAACTATATTTGGTAATAAAAAAAAGATTTCCTTTCAACTGTTCATCATCATCATCAGCTTTCTCTCTCTCTCTCTGTTACTCCCTCTATCTACTACTGTGATGACAGACTATTGTCATTACATCAAAGCTGTTCTAGCTATAGCCTTTCTCTCTCATTCACCTCACCTCTCATACTATCTCCCTCTCTCTCTCTCTGCTTTCTCTCTCTATTCTCTCTATGTTTTTTTCTTGTTTTTAAGCTCTTTAAGTACATGATTAGGGTAAGTTTTGGTAGATAAGGCTGGAAAAAAGCTGGTTTACTACACATTTAGCTAAGTAATAACCTCCAAGTTCGAAATTATGTTGCAAATTGAGGAAAAAAAAGAAAAGTTAACGACTCTTCCAGAGAAATTCAGTAAAAACTGAAAACTGACGACAGCGTTTCAGATATCAGGATAGACAGCTCGAACCCCCTTATAAGTACATACTGAGGTTGATCGTTGAGCCTCCATTCACCTTAGCTTTTTCATCTGTTGCAACCGTCGTGAACTGAAATATGATGGAATCTGAATAAAGAAGAAAAAAAAAAACTTTTCTTGGAAGCAAATACATTTCTTCCCTATTTTTCCATTTTATTGAAGCTTCCGGACTCATTTGGCTATCCATTTCTATCTTTAAAGCCTCTTTTGTAAGTAACCTGATTAGGTTGTCTTTCCGTCCACGTTGACTTTCCTTGAAAAGCTCCCAAAGTTTTTTCATTTTCTTTCTTATCTTACGGAATGGTCGGCTCCTCCTACTCTGGTGCTCATGCAACATCAGTAGGAAGCTTGTTGCTCGTCTTCATTGAAGGTTTTTAACCGAGCTTCATCTGTTTCCCTCTTCCTCTCTATCTGTATCTCTCTGTATATCTGTTTCTCTCTCGTTTACTCTTGTCTCTCTCTTATACTTTAACTGACTACTTCATTCTCTCTCTCTACTTCTCAACCTTTCCATTTGTGTTTTTTTTCTTCGTGGAAAGGAGAAAAATCTGAAGATCTGAGAACTTTCGTTACAATTGCTACTTCGTTCAGTCCATAATGAGATTATGCCGTTATCGTTGTAAGCTAAGACATCTATTTAGTCTTCGAGAACTTCGTTCCTGTCAACTTCTAACTTCTTACTTTCCACATAAATTCATTAGGAAACAAATCGCTTGATAATTACCTTAATTAAATTATTTTATAAGCCTTACTATCCTTACGTCGTCATCCTCATCTTCTTCACGTCTCTTCCATTCTTCCGGTCTCTCAATCTTTATGCCCTTAGGCAACGTTATAAGGCTTCAAATTTCAAGGCAGACTTGTGCAATCATTAAACTGAACCTTGAACTTCTAAGCGAACGGTCTGTCAGCCAAGTCTTTTTTTTTCTAAGGAAAGCTTTTCCAATTTCCCGTAAATTCAGATTTTTTCAGTCTATTTATGGAGAGACACATCATTGCCTTAAGCAATCCCCCCACTCCTTCTGCTTACTTTGTTCGTTCAACTAGTATTCTGTAAACTCTCATATAACATATAATTCCTTCTTACTATCTCATACGTTTCTACCTCTATCTGTCTCTCTTCCTCCTTCAATGCATCTCTCTCTCTCTCTTTCTTTCTCTCTCTTCACTTCTCTTTTTTTCTTTGTCACTTTTCATCTCTCTTGAGCTATTTTGCATGTTAGTTTACCCATATAACAGCATTAGTTTTTCATGATTTTCAAATTCGTTCATAATTCAAGCCCACCCTCAACTTCAGCTTAACCTTCGGAAGCTTCAAAGAGTTTAAACTATAAACAAACTATTTAGTTTCATGATTTTTGCTTTCAATCTCAAAGCATGTCTAACTTAATCATAACTTTTTCAAGTTTCAAAGATCCCGTAATGAGCTTAGCCAGAACAATCAGTTGTACCTTCTCCTAATGTTCATGAAGCAGCTTCAAGGAAAAAAAAATGAACAGAGTGTGGTATTTACTTTTCCGTCAGAAGTTAGTCATTCAGAAGATCGACCATGATGTCGTTCTGTTTCCATTTTGACCGACCAACTATTATTTCACATGATGAGGCATATAAGACCGTTGAGAACAATGAGCTTCTACTAGCTATCTAGCTATTCTTCAACTCATCATCAAACTCATTCCTTCTCTCTCTTTTTCTCTCTTTATTCATCTTGCCTGTATCTATCTCTGTTAGTGTTATTCTTTCATCCATTCTCTCTCTCTTTCTTTCTCTCTACCTCTCTATCATTCTCTTCTCATCCCCTCATATTTTCTTTTCTTTTTCTCTTCAAAATCTGATTTGAATTTAGTTTGAAAGTTGGCTTTGAAAAAAGAATGAAAAACGAATAAAAGGACAAATTACTGAACGAGATTGTTTCGAAAAAGTTTCTTTTTTTCCGACATTTTTCGTCTTTCAACTTCATCATCACCTAATCCTTTTTCTTTTCATCTCTCTCAACCTCTGTACCTCGCTACCTCCCTACCTCTGTCTCTCTCTCTCTCTCTATCTTTAATCATTTGACGTTTTTTCATTTAAAACCTTCACAAGAAGCTTTTGAGAGCTTAAATTGAAAAAATATTTTTCTACTTTTGAATTGAAGAAACGGCACGACCCCATGCCAATGCCTATCTCAATCGCAGCATTTGACGTTCTTCATTTTTAATTAATCAAAGTTAATTTCTTTCTGAAATTACAATTTACAGTTTAATGAAATTTGCGTGAAAGAAGTAAAATGAACAAAAATCTCTTCTTTCTTCCAATCTCTCTCTCTCTATCGCTCTCATTCTCTCTCTATCTTTTCAACGCCTTTTTTTCCTTTTTAAGTACGTTTTTGATTGAGCTTTAAGCTTCGAGCATATCCATGCAAAGTGGAGGTCATCGTTAGAAGTGGCTGTCATCATCATCAACCAACTAACATCATCAGCATTTTCGATGAAAATCATCATCATCTGAAAAACAGAATTGAAATCTTTGACTTCTTATCAAATTTTTTATTTTTTAAACAAAAAAGTTTTTTTTCTCTTTGTTTCGCCTTCACTCTGTTGTATATCTCTTGCTCTCTCTCTCTCTACCTCTCTACCCATTTGCACAGAATGTACATGATAACTCTGTTTGTCGTTCATTTGCATCGAACCTTACAACCCTTGCACAACTTCCTCTTCCTCCAATTTTCCCTTAAATTTCATTTGATTTCACGTAATCTCACGTGAATACTCTTTTGTGTTTCAAGAGAAAAGACGGCAGAGACCACCTGCGAGATATAAGAGCAATCTTGTCGTTTTCACATTCTTCTAGTCCATGGCGAAGTTGGAAGTCAAATCATTTAAAGGAATGTTCTGCGTGTAAAAGCCACGATAAGCCTCCACGTGGAAAATTGATGTGGAAAGTTGACGTGGAAAGTTGACGTAAAACGTTCAAACGTTTCATGTACGCTTAATTCACTAAATGAAAACGTACAGACGGGTTGTGCTCAAAGAAAACGGAGAATGAAGGATAGAGAGAGACAGAGAGAGAGAGAGATAGAAAGAGAATGGCTGAAGAATAGGAAGAAGGTGATGAAGGATGAATTGGTAGATCGGCTATGGAAGAGTAATACTATGGGAAGAAGAGGAAGATGTAGCTAATATTTACCATGTTTTTGGTTTTTCGTGCATTCTCATGATTTTAAGTTGTAGAAAATGCGTTTCTTCGCTTTCGAGTGAGAACAAGAAAGAGGTTGGAAGATGAAAGAGAGAGAGAGAGAGAGAGGGAGGGATAGAGAATGCAGTAAAGAGAGTTTGTGTATGAATGAAAGAAGGAAAGCGCTTCTAAAGAAAATCTCACATTCGATACTTCTTTTTTGATGAAATAAGTAGAAGAAAAAAAAAGAAAGAAAGAGCGGGAGTAGCCCCCATCGATAACAAAATTACACGAAAGACACCCAAGAATTCTTAGGTGTAAAACATACATTTCATTCTCATCGTTTCTTCTGCTCTTGCTTCTTCTTCTTCTTCTTCTACTCCTTCTGCTTCTTCTCTTCTTTTCTCCTTTTTGGTTTCGTTAGCTACCATTTGCATATTTCTATTAATTATGTAAATTTACTTCATAATAGAAGCTAAAAAAAAGATATTTTCATGATCGTATCTCTCTCTCTCTCTTTGTCTCCCTCCATTCTATCTCGTTCACATCTAATTACCTCCCTCTCTCTCAACTTCTCTGTCCCTCCTTTTCAGTCTCTTTCTCTTCATCACCAACTTCTTCATCCAACCTTATCAACGAAACAAAACTCACAAAATCTGATCACCTTCGTTAGTTCTCCTTCTATTCGTCATTCTTAGGTATTCTCTCTCTCTCTCTCTCTCTCTCTCTCTCTATCTTTGGGAGAAGAAAATTAATGTGAACTCACATATTATACTCAAGAATATCTTCGTTCGATTCATTTTGTAAGCACGGTGAAGCTTTTTGACTTATCACTTCGTTACCTTCCTCACTCCTCTCCCGCTCTCTCTCTCTCTCTCTCTCTCTCTCTCTCTCTCTCTCTCTCTCTCTTCTCTCTCCTTTTCCTTCCCTCTCTCCTCCCCCTCTCTCTCTCTCTCTCTCTCTCTCTCTCT